ATTTAAATTAATAAAAACTGAACTAAATTTAAAATTTAAATCTTCCTACAACTAGACATATTTCAAGTGTTTACTAGTCACATGTGACAAGAGACTAGTGTACTGAAATATACAAATAAGTACAATTCTATCATGGGAGAAAGCTACTTCGGACATAGCTATTTTAGAAGAAAACAAGAAAAAAAAATAATCCACGTTGAGGATAGAAAAGTAGACTACTTTTCTATGGCCAGATTGCGCCAAGTCCGTAGTAACCTGATAAGAATTTAAACGTTGTCATATGTAGACTGGTAAGTCATACTTGTAAGTAAGATGGAATGTTTGCAATAGTCTCCATACATAAGTAAAAACAATAGAGTGTGCATTTAAATGATAAAGAGAGAAGGATATAAAATTTTCAAATATTGCAACAGCACAAAAAGAAGCAAATATGAGAGCAAATACTAGATACTAAATTGGAGATACTGTGGAAGGTTTGTGTTTTTTTTTCCCCAGCTACCCAACCATAGGCTCTTCTCTACAAAAACTTATATTCTTTTCAGTCAGTGTATTACCTGCATGAATAAACATTCATCTATCTTTCAGAGTACATATTAAAATAATGAAAATCTAGTGTTGCACAAATTATAAAAAATATTCTCTGAAGTTATATTTGGCAATGCTCTGAGCAAGAATCAAATTGATGAAATGTAAAATTCAGCAAAAGATTGCATAAGTAATTGCAAATCATCAGTGCATGGGGGCAGTGTTTTCAACAGATAGAGTGATCATTTAATATCAGTTGTCACAATGGTCCTATGAGAATCCTTTGGATATAATCAAGAATTCTTTTTTTCATTTTGACTTATAAGTAACGCCTTTTAATTGTCTTCCCACTGAAAGTACCACAGACCATTACAGCTGAAACAAAGCCAAATTAATGAGAGTAAAACTCTCATTAAAAAACAAATTTTAACATAGTATTACTATATATGTGAAGTAGAAATAAACAGTAATAATGTACAAATCTAAAATGAGCTTACCTTTCTAGCCATGTTGGTCTCAACTCAGAGAATTAATCACATTTTAACCATTTATGCTTTTACTTTCTTCTAATGATTACTTTATTGTTCTTCTAATTCTCATTGTAGCAAATTTCAAAAAGTATGAAACAGAAAAACAGAAAGATTCATGGGTAGAAAAGAAAAAGTAGTTTGCCTATGGTCTCATTCTCTCTCAATATTTCATAACAATTAAGCTATTAAATATTAAACTGTATCTTAAATTATTGAGTTTCTATATTAGTTAAATTTAAAACTTTAAAATCTGAACTTATTATTGTGCCTAATTTTAACGTAGCCTGATTATTATTTTAAACTATTTTAATTTTTTGCTGAAAATTTTTTTCATATTTGTCATGATATAAAAATTTCTGAAGTATTTTTAAATTATATTTTACATTATTATTTAATAATCCTGTTTTAATTTTTAGAAGTTTTATAGATTTTGTCTCATATATTTCTATCTTCTCTAAGATTACTATTAAAGAGTTTTAATACTTTTTAAAATGAAGCATACATTCTGGGTTTTCACATCATCTTTTAAATTTATATGATTTTTCTCTCTATATCATGGGTAAATTCCTGAAATTTTTCTTTTAAAACTTGCTGAGCTTTTTCAAATTTACAATAACCTTTTCAATTTCTGAATTGTATATTTTCCAACTGTTCTGTCTTTGTTCTCCTCTTCACTGAATGCATTAGCTCCTCAAGTATTTCTAAGTAGACGAATTATCAGAATTAATTTTCTCTTATTTCTTGAACTATTAGAGTCAGGAATTCTAGCTGTTAATCATCACATTTTTCATTTGCTGGTTCTCAGATGTTGTTTCTGATTATTTTACTGTAGGCCCTGCAGGAGGTCTATCAAATTTTCACTGGTCAGGTGCTATTCTCATATCATTGGGGAACAAACTATTCATGGTTTCTAAACGTACACACACAGAGTCTCTAAATGATAAATGTTGGAACAATGAGGGCATTTCTGGCATTCCAGTATCAGTTTCAGGAAGGAGTCTTAATCTTCCTTGAGCTATTGCTAAGATCTTATTATTGTTTCTTTAGAAATTATGGAGTTTTGGCAATAAGAAAAGACTAAAACAAACAAATAATAGTAACAACATTAAAAATAAAAACTTATAGTAACAACATTAAAAATAAAAACTTATCCAACTTATCTGCTTGGACCGTAGTTATTTCTAATTCAAAGAGTGTTCCTGTTAATTCAGAAATGATCATTTAACTAATGCTATACCTTCCACTTCAATTGACTTATAGTACATTCTTCTTGCCTTTGTTTGACGTGTCTGAAGTTTTTGAGAGGAAAGACTTCTTTCCAGCCTCACATTTCCATTTCCTCAGCTTTCTGAAATGTGTTTTCTTTGGATATACTTTATCCAGTAGGCTATTTCAAACTTTGATGTTTCAGAAGTTCATCACAATTTTTTTTTTTTTTAGCTTTTTATCGGTACCGGGGATCGAACTCACAACCGCCTGCTTACTAGGCAGGTGCTTATGCCGCTGAGCTAAATCTCCAGCCCTGCTCATCACAAATTTTAATTTGCAAATTGAGAACTCATCACCAATACCCACTTTTGATCTGTTTTTTTTTTTAATCCCTGATATGTGTTTTATAATTTTTGGTCATTTTAATAGCCCTTATAGGATATGCAGTTAAGTTGTTATTTTTTATGTTACTTTAACTGATTTATTTTTACTTTTCCAATATTTGCTGTTTTGGAAGGCAGCCTATGTAGTGGAGCTGCAATTCAAGTAAATGTAGCCCATATCTATATATTCTTTCCATTAATCATTCAGAGATTTGTCTGTGTGTTGCCATTATTTTGTTTTATTGATATTGTATAGATCTTTGGAAATTTTCCTCAGCATGTATACAGTCTATTTCTATTCACTTTCATGATTCATTGAAGTGTAGTTTCTTCAAATTTATGAATTCATTTTTCTGGAGGAGAAAAAAGGGGCAGAAATGAAGTGGAAATTTTTCAAAGTGTCATTGCAATAAAATCATCAGGATATTGACCACCAGAGATTAGTCTGTTTTTAAAATCAACTACTTGCAGTATTTCTCCATTTTTTGTGCATGTTAGTGTTTAATCATCCCTTTTATAGACAACTGATAAGCACAAGGTATTTTACTTTTGACAGTGTTGCATGATATATGAAATGTGTTTTCTATCAAATAACTTTAAAATTGTCAAATGACAAACTTCCATATTAATTACTTTTCTTTCTCATTAGCATATGAAGATGTTATTTAAGTAGTAAACAACAAGGAAAAGCATATCAATCTGTTTTTTTTTTTTACATAACTTTGGTGCTTCACTAAAAGTTTAGAGTCTAATCAAGTATTCGTAGTGTATCTTCAAAATATTTGGGCTTAACGTCTGATAATAAACTGTCTTTGCTTTTTACTTATATCTAGGCAAGAGCTATAATGAATTTCGTTGTGTTTAGGGCAGTTATCCTTATCTCAAGGCATATATTTTGGTTCAGAGATGACTAATATCACTCCTCTGATGCTTTTGCTTTTTTCCAATATTACTACATGTTATTATTTGCTTCTTTTTTTAAAATCAATTTAATTTTCATTACTTATTGGCCCGAGTTTTTAATTTTTTTTCATGAAATGTTTGTCATCATTCTTAGATTTTTTTTTTCAAAATCTAGAACCTACAAATTAGATAAATATTGACCTTAAAAAGAATTCAGGACAAGTAAAAACAATTTTTATAGACTTGACATTACGTGCAAAGTTAAGCTAATCAAAGCACTGATTTTAATAATTGTAAGATGTATAACTTTGATGACCTTAGAAATGTGAAGAACTTATAAATGATGATAAATCACCAAAAGTGCAGACTTCATGCATATTTTACTTGCAATTTTATCCCAAGATTTGATCATTTTTTTAGAGATTTTTTTTCCATGAATCTCAATTTTTTTCTGTTAGCATTGTCTGTTAGGTTGGTCATACATTTTATACTTTGTTGTGTCTTGTTGTCAGGCATCACAATAAAAATAATACTAACAGTAACAATAAGGAGGAGCTACTGGAAACTGAATTGTTTCTTTATTTGTTGCTGATGTTTCATGTGCATTATTGAGATAATGCACATCAACAAATCTGTGTTATTGCCTCTGAGACTTTGTACTACACAATATCAGTTGCAAAGAGCCATCAAATTTTCCACTCAAGTTTCAATAACTCTAGTAATCAAAGCTAGAAGTTCAGACTACATTTGTCTGACTCTAAAGTGTTTTCCTTAATGTTCTTAAATAAGCTTAATAATAGTAGCTATTATTACCAGGCAAGAAGGAAAAGTGATTATTCCCCCATAACTTAGGAAATTACTCTTTATAGCTATCACAAAAAATTAGGTGCTAATATAATTCCAACTATGACGATAGCTACCTTAGTAGAATGAGCAGAATTTTGAACACCACTTCTTCCCTAAATGGCATTTTAAACATCTGCACAACATATCTCCAAAATATGCTAATTCTGACCTATTCACTACTCTAAACTCATATTTTTCTGTTACCCATAGTTTCTTAAACCATTTGTATTATTGATGTCTTCACTAAAGTAAGTAACATTCAGAAAAAAAAGTATATTCATAGTACTGTAAATATTTTAGTGCAAAAATAATAGAAATATTTTTCTGCTTTTAGAATAAGATTCATAGTTGACAGTAGTTTAACACACCAGTTTTCTAAAGATATAAAATATATTTTATTTTCCGGGGCGTTTTCCACATGATCTTTGGGAATGTTACATGCTGCTAAGTAAATTGTTATCTGAAACTACATTAGAATTGAAAAGACTTCCTTTTTGAAAATCAGGATTGAGTATACGCTTCCTAGAGCTTGTCTTGATGGCGAGGTAGTAGCCTTCCTTTATTCTGCTCTGTGCCTGAAAAATTCACTTATTACCTCACTTAGGTGTCGCCCGGTCTCCATGCTGGATCCACTCTGATTCCGATGAATAGCATGTCTCTGCCACAAGGGGAGGACGATTACGGCTATCAGTGTTTGGAGGGCAAAGATTGTGCCAGCTTCTTCTGCTGCTTCGAAGACTGCAGAGCTGGGTCCTGGAGGGAAGGGAGGATACACATACGCATTGCCAAAATTGACTCCTATTCGCGAATATTTTTCCCAACAGCGTTTGCTCTGTTCAATCTGGTTTATTGGGTTGGCTATCTTTACTTATAAATTTACTTCTAGCCCAAATCTATAATTCTAATTATATCTAGTTTAATCAGTTGTACTTCAGTAACATGAGGTTAAAACTTAAAATGCAGAGATACAATGGTAAAAATACAAACAGTATTGTAATTATTTTTAGGCTTCCAGAGGTAAATAAAATACCAGATAGTAGATTCGCTTACCTAAATTTACATGAAATTTTTGAATTGTTAAATCCAGTATATTTAAATACTATTACATGCTTTACTTTTACTTTATGTTACTTACACCCTATTAGGATTTGGGATTTATAATGATGCATAATTTAAAATTGAAGTAATTGAGTATATATTTTATTTAAATATAATCTGATTTCTAAAATATATCTAATTTTTTACCTAAAATGTTTTTAATTTCAGTTTCTTGTTCCTTTTTATTTTTCTACCTGGTTTAGCATATATCTTGTTAAAAAGATAAAGTCATTATTTCCTTGCATTTATTTCCAAGATGCTTTAGTCCCAAGAAGAAAGTAATTTATTTCTGTCTTAATTTAATTTTTATTTTGAGTTGATAACATATAATTGTATAGATTTATAAGGGAAAACACGATGTCATGATTTATGAATACAGTATGGAATAACTGAACACAGTAGTTGGGAAGAGCACATGATTTATGAATTGACGAATTTTTGTTTGTCATTTAATACAGTCGATTGCCTTATGCAATATGAAAGAAAACTCCAGCTACATTTAGTTTGAGGATTTGCACACTTGGATAGAGACGATTTCAGACAGATTTTTAAAATGCAATTTGGAAAATGATAAAGAAAATGCTGCATTTATCCATTTTGTTTTCTTCCTTTTGGCATTTATGAAGTATGGATAGTAACATGTATCAACACTAAGATTAAAAGTAGAAAGAATGATCATTCTTTTCATGTGCTACAAAGTTGTAGCAGTGCTTCAGTTAATAATTAGGGGACATTTACTCTTGTGGTTAAAGAAATATCTGGCAAATTAAATCGTAAGCTCATTGAGAATGTAGTCTTATTTTTTTATCAGACTTACTTAGCAAATTATTTTATGCTTATGTCAAATATATGTCTCTTCTATCTCTTGAGTTTGAGCCTGTTCTACAACATTATTACATTATCTTTTATAGGAAATGAGAAAAGCCACAGAATCATGTTAAGGTTAGATTTTGCTACAGTCACCTTTAAAGAACATGAGTGTGAGAGCATTCTAGTTTTCAACAGACAGCAGAAAAAGGCCAAAGGAAGTTTCGGTAAGAAAAGCTGGTGTGTTAATAGCTGCAACATATCTCTTGTGAAGAGAAGAATTAACATTAAGTTTCAATGCCATGGCCCTGTAAATCAGTTGGCATATCAGTTGTTCATAAGCATTCCGTTTTCATCCACCATAATTTAATCTTCCAAAGATTCAGCAGTGTCAGGTTGGAGATCAACTTCAAAAACTGTTTCTATTGCCAAGAATGATTATCTGGATTAAGAGATTTATGATCAAGGACAAATTTATGATCAAGGACTAAGGCTTGAAAAAATGCTATCACATACATATGTGATGCTAGAGTTTTAGTGCTGTATTTCCTCCACACAGTTAGTGCATGCCTGGTAATGTCCAGGTATAGTTATAATTTTTAAACATTTAGTTCTTTTTAATTTTAATCTAAATATATTTTACTGTGTTCCTCAGATAAATCTTAGTCATTTTTCCAATTTGTTTACAAACCTTTAGGCAGAAAAAGCAAATGAACAATTGAACTTTAATGAAAAATATTAAGAGTGCTCTATTCTTTGTGGAGAGTCAAATAAAATTTGGCCATGTATATATTCATTTTGAGATTACTCATACATTGTTGCTTTTAACATTGAGTATTGGTGGCTATTTTAAATACTAGCATCCATTTAGAAATAAATGGAAAATATTCATAAAAAGTAAAATACTTCACTAAATTATTTTGTGACTAGTTTCATGTTTTAAGCTCTAAACTGCTCATTATTAAGGAGTACTTTAGATTTGGGAACTTTTTCAATTTTATCTGAGCATGACTAAATTTTAAAGCTCTCAAAGACGCTTGATATAAGCAGCCTTGATTTTTTTCATTGATGTCTTATTAACTTGATTTTAAACGTTGACAATATTTACATGTGGAAATATAATTGATTAAAATATGATAGATACTTTCCTATATGTTTCTTGTATATACCATCAAAATAAGCATTTAATTTTCAAAGTCACTGGTATTTTCAACAGCTTTATCTGAATTTATGGATCAGAAAGAGAAGCATACAAATCTTACTATAAAGCAAAAGTAAAAATACATTTTTTTCCAAGGAATCAAAAGAACTTATTCTCAGAGGGGATCCATGCTAATTCTTGTTCTTGTTTCAGGTAATAGTTTTTCCTTGTTGGCAAAGATTTTTTAATCCTCTTCTTTTCAAGTGAGGTGTGTTTTGTTTTATTGGTTTTAGTGGGACTTTTGCTGAATGCAAAAAACAAACCTTTAGAATAAATCACAAAGTAATAAAAGTGAAAAGGATCAGAGAAACAGACATTTAGAATCATTGGAAAAACGTTAATTCACATAAATCCATTTATTACAACTATGACTAGGATATGAAAGCACTGAGATAGAGAAGTGTGAATGATGTGACTTTATTTTGACTTACAGCGACAGATTAGTAGTTTATGTATCCTTGAATTACACAAACAAGATTATGTATACTTGAAGCGAAAGCCTAGAGTGTTAACTTGTTTTAGGAGTAAGAAGTACTTAGACTATTCGAGATTTCAGGAAAAGAATAAAAATTCCCCCAATAAAGCCAATTAAATATAAAGTTTCTATGTCAGGCTAAGAATTATACAATTCATGGAATGTATCTCATTTTAAGTGAAGGAGAGACTTCATTAAGTTTTAAGTCCTGATAAACTCTATTTTAAGTATACTATTGTAAATATGAAAGCAATTATCAGGGTTTTTACATCTAGTGTGTTCACATAGTTGGATATCCACATATACTGTAATGATAAGAAGTCTGTACTTTTCCTTAAGAAGAAGGATAAAATGGAGTGTTGCATTCTTAATGATAATTCAGCATCAAAAAGAACATCAGATAGAACTCTCACACTCATACTTGTACATATTAAATAGTATTTCAATTCGGTACATTGTGACTAAATAATTCTAATGACTGGTCTGAGTAAAGTCGGAACAGACAAGCATTATTTGAATAAACACAAAACAAATGAAGAATGTATACATAAAATTGGCAAATGTCTGTATCACTGTTTTCTCCAATCCTGAAACATTTGCTGTAGCAAAAAAAAAAAAACTGCATTCATGATTATTTCATTAGTGTTATCACTAGGGTTCAAGTAATGTACCAGCCACTTAATGATTTGTCATTAGTCCACTGGAAGCATTGTGCAAATAATTCCTGAGCAAACTGTAATTCTTTATATTATCACATTTATCCAAATATCACTGTTACGTCATATGAAGGCCACACATAGTGGCGTTACGCTACTGTCAACAATCCTTTCTTTCTTAAGGTTAGAGAGTAGTCTGACAGGCCACTGTAAAGTCACAAAACAATTAACGAATGTTTATTAAAGACACTCCAGTTGGAATTCCAAACAATATTGACATTTTTTCCAGTAGATATAAAGTTGGCTTTTCTTACCCTATGTTTGCAGTTTAGAACTGAGGTACCCCAACTCAAATATTTATGGAGTATTTTTTATGCACAAAATGTACCAGAGAGAATAGATAACATAAAGATGAATTCTGAAGGAATACATGCAGAGAGAAGAGGATTAGTTGTACAGTTTAAGAGCAGAAGAATAATTCTGCAAAGCAGTCCCGAAGAATATGTATTTAAAAATATGAATTTGAGGATTCAATATGTCTGTGGGTGAGAGAAATAGATATCACAGTTTCTAGTTGAAAAATTAGGTTTGAGTAAAGGCACAAGAATATGAACAAAAATGAAAATTGCATTTTAACTCAAAGTAATTATTCATATTGAGATAATAACTGAATCTGAAAAGACCTACACTTATAGTTAAGAGGTGAGAACACAGATGTCAGGTAGCCCAATGATACTATAAATTCAGAAGAGTCAATAATTAAGTATAAAGAGCAGTTATTAAATCTTCAAAAGTTTCATCTATTTGGTGTACAATATTGGGTATAAGAAATTTAAAGACATGATATAGAAAATGAGGAGAAATGGAAATAGATATATCAGTGATAAAAGTTTTCAGTGGAGGGGAGGAGATAACTTGGAATAAAAAAGAAAATTGGCAGACACTAAAATTATGATCAGCAAACAGTGTTAACCAAGAGACGTGGTGTGCACATGGAAGCCAACGTCCTGTGGTAAATTACACTTGTCTGCATTTGAACAAACACAAACCATAAAAGGAAATTTTGTGTGTATTACAGTCTTGCTTGCTGTTGTATTTAAATCAAATGACCACTTTTGAATAATGACTTATGTACTAAGAATGAAAAAAGAACAATATTTCAAAGTATACACCCAAGGTGGTTCTTGTGACTTATTACTATTTAGTAAAATGAGGTCATAAAATCCACTACTTATCCAAAAGTTTTCTCTTCAAATAGCCTCCTTCATCCTTCTAATCTAGAATACTTAGGGACCAAGGGAAGGGGAGAGAGAACTGTGAAAAGAAAGAGTTATTGTGAGACCAGAAGAATACAGGAATTTTCAGGAATATTTGTCTTAATAAGTAAAGTTTTATTGGTGAACAATGAAATGTACCTGTAACTTTTGAGTCATGAATTGTCATGACTGTAATAACTGAAATACCAATAATCAGCAATGGATTTTGAACTCAATATTTGGAACATGATTTACTTAAAATGCAAAAAGTTGGGATTTCAATAAATTGGTGTAATATAAATTATTTCCATCAATTAACTGTAGTCAGTAAAGTTTTAAAGCTTGTAATGATTTTTTTTAATTTTTGCTTTATCTTCTTGAGAAGCATTTGTGTATGACAAAGATACTCTAATTTTTCAGTGTGCTCTGTACATTCATGATCCTGTGTACAAAGTAAACTCTGTAACTTATCATGAAATAAAGCTTCATGTTACATTCTCTTAAAATGTGTCCTTTCTGATATTTTTCATATAGGTAACTCCATTATTGGAGCATATGTGATGATGACTTCAGCATAGAAGTTAATTCCTGATTAGTATTTCACATTTTTCAAATTAAGAAATATGTTTAAAAGTTTATTCTTGACAGTTTTGAGAAGTAAACTAAATGATTAATGGTCAACTGAAGAAAAATAAGATTTATATATGATTTTTGCTGCTAATGCTGTGAATATCTGGATAATTCTAATAATTTGTGATTTAAACCTAATTTAAACTCCCAGATACTCTTCCTTAGGTAAATTGAGAATAATGTATATTAGTTAGGGCTTTCACTCAGAACATTTCAAATTCTCCTTAGGCTAAAACTGAATTTTTATACCTTTCCCTGTGAATACTCTTATTTTTCAATTACACAAAATCAGGGAACCTAAAGTGAATACCCACATTCCAACAGCAGAAGATGTTTCTTTCTCAAAAGAGAACTGGGGAACCTGAAAAACAAAAACTTCGCTTTTTATTTTTTAAGAGCAGAGCATACTTATTGAGAGAAATAAAGCTTCTGTCTGACAGAGAGAAAAAAGGGATCTCAAGTGGGTTGCTAAAGACTCTGGTTTTCGTAGGGACTTTTAAAGAGCAAAACCCTCTTGAAATGAATCAGGTCCAGAGTATGGGAAAATGGGAACTCACAGGTGGGTAGGAGATGGCCCAGCACTATGGTCAACCATAAAGTTTAACAGTTTGGTAAAACTAAGAGACAGTGCTGATGCAAGTCACATGGTAAACGGGCATGCTTAAAGACCAGTGACTCTTCCTACAGGGTTTTGAGATGGTGACTCCTGGCTTCCTCAAAGTGATTCATACCTACTTAGAATATCAATTTCTGATGTTTATACTTAGGGTGCGATTGCATTTGTCTTGCCTTTTGTCTCAAAGTCTGGCTCACAGAGGAAGGTGACTGTATCCAAGTTCACAAGATACCTAGTCTGCACTGGCTCCTTCAAGGATCTAGCCCTACCCACCTGCCTAAAATATTTCTGTCTAACTCAGAATCACTCTAACATGTTATTCAGTAATAGCATAATAGTATCATCTATGTATCCCTTACTTGTTAGGTCCAAAGTGGATTTTTTCCCCCAGTGGAACACTGTTGAATATATGCTAAAAGTGCCTTTAAAAAGTGCTCTTTACATCCAAATAAAATATGGAGTGCTACTTTTTTGAAAAGGGGTTGACAAACTAAATTCACAGCAATGGGTATGGCCACATTCATCATTTGTATCAGGTCTGTGACTGCCAGACTCCAGAAGGCACAACAGAATCAAACAGCACATAATTCCTAAGCATTTACTCTCTGATGCTCTCTGGGAAGAAGTTGCTGAAGTTACCTCACAATAGCTTCCATGTGTTAGTGAAAATTCACTGCATTTAAATACAATTTTATTTTTTAACTTAAAAGAAAAAGGTAAAAAGGTTTCGCTTGAAGTAATGTAATTAATTTCTCTCCACTGTACATCCTCCTCTCAAAATCTTTCACAGATTTAGTAATCGAAGGTATGCCCTCTTTTTAAAATAGGTAAAAAATTATTATAATTGTTTCATTAATAAAAATACATGTTTATTTATAATTATTTCAATGTTATTTGAAATAGATAAAGTAGACTAATCCAGAAACTAAGGTAGTACTCTCTACCACCAACATTGCCAAAAGATTTTTATCAAAGAGTATTATTATTACTATAATAATGATTTCTCTCCTTGAGACAATATAAAACATGCTTCCTCACTAAATCTGTTTTTGTCAATATAAAGTCTTGCATTTAACAACATCTTTCATAGCACTAAGACCCAAGCAGCTCTTTATGAATAATTTCATTAGAATAAATATTTAATTCTCCTTTCACATTCCTCTTGTGTTTTTCTCTGTATTTCAACAGGTGCATTTCGGTTATTAAAAATTGCATGTCAAATATTCACAAAAAACAGCTTGTTAAACATTGTATACTCTGAGTAAGATAGCAGATGTTATTGAATGTTATAGAGTAGATATGTTTATTCCCTACATTTTAACCTAAATATCCACATAATGATTCAAATCACTACTGAAATTGACTTATACTCACACTAAGGCTTGAGTTTTTAATATTTTAAAAACTATTTTCATAAACTTTCAATTTTTCTTCCAGGCTCATCATTTGAAAACGTTAGCACCATAAATATGTGAATGTTGAAGACCTAGCTTAGATTAGTGATAATTACCAGTATTAGTGTATTATTTTATTATACCTATATTTTAATATGAATGATTTCCCATGACCATTCATGAGGCTTATGAAATGCGAAAGATTAATATTAGGCTTTTCATAGGTGAAGAAAATAGAGAGCCAGTGAACTTGATTACTTAACATAACACTACATTTATCAAACTTAAGACATTTCTTATAAATTTTGCATTTATAATCTGAACTCCAGGTTTAGAGCATATAAGAAGGGAATTCAAAATCAGTTGTACCTCAGAAATAATCCTTCTTTCCTTCCTTGATTTTGACTCCTCAAGCATGAGTGAGGAATATTAGAAAACTCACTCTTGCCTCAAGATTATATTTTATTTTAAAGAAAAAAATAAAACAAAATTTTAAGACAACAGGAGAGTAACAATGGTCAATCATTGCATATTTCTATCTTTAAATAAGTTACTCAGAGTACAAGATACAGGTATTTAATTGTCCAAACAGTATTAAGTATTGCTTATTTTATACGATTTAAACATTCATCATTATTTTCTAGACCCAAGACTGAAAACAATTTTTTGAAGTTTTTTTTAAACTCATGCTTAAAAAGTGAACACTACAGAAGCATAGAAAACTGTAAGAAAAATCCCCAAAGAGTTTTCAGAATCTTGAAACTACTTACAGAAAAAGGAGGTGAGATTAAAAACAAAAGAAAGGAAGCAGTTGAGCAAAGCTATAAGGAACTACTATTATCACAAGGACCCAGAGCGGATATGTCTTCCTGATCAGTTGAAGAACACATCATTGAGGGTGCTGAAGGACCCCGGAGGGGAGAATCTGTGAGACAGACCTACCAGTGGCATCACCTCCCTCATCTGCTCTCTCCTACCCCAGACCATCCTCACTGCAGACCAGAACACAAGGGAGTAGTACTCATATCCACAGAAGTCATTTTTCTGGGACATAGAGCAGAAGATCAAACAAAGCATGGAACTTGCGGACATAAAAACGGAAATACACAGATAGTATTTGAGGACATTACTTTATGGTCACCTATTTATTTTTTACTGCATGAAAAATCAAGCACTAAAAGCATCTCCTGATAATTCTGATCTCTCTACCTCATGCTTCAGTGTACATAGCCATGACTGGGCCAGGGCCAATTGACCAGCTCAACCTGTGCATCAAAGTAGCTTGAACTCTGTCTCTCTTGCTCGATTTTCTCTGACACTGGTAAGCAAAATGCTAAGCATATTGGTACAATTAGTTTCTAGACATATTTCTTCTAAGGTAAAAGATTCTGTCTGTGTGTCTGTGTCAATCTGTCTGTCTGACTGTCTGTCTCTCTCTCTCTCTCTCTCTCTCTCTCTCTCTCTCTCTCTCACACACACACACACACACACACACACACACACAAGAACATACACACTATGACAAGTGGAAGAAAGACTGAGTGAAGACAAGAGCTTGGATCTGTTTGTTACTCTCTTTTTTAGTACGGCAGCAATGATGACTACGATGTATGTCTGACTTTGAATAAATTGTGAGAAAACAAACAATAAAGGAAAATTATGAAAATAAAGGGAACATAGGGAACCTTATCCTGGGCTTGACTGACAAGCAACTACATTGCAACAAAAATTACTACAAGTTAACCATAAGGAATTGTTGGTGAAAACCAAGACACTATTCTATAGTACAAAAAATTTGTGACAATGTTTACTTTTATATTCCTTTCTCTCTGTTTTGAGACTATGAGAAGTAATATTAATTATCCTTTAATGGGTATTTGAGAACTCAATTATTTTACACAAAAATACTCCCTTAAGATTATATTTTTACTAGGAAAAAAAACCTCACTACACAAACACCATATTTTTCTTAACTCATTGGCAGTATATACTACACATAATCACTACAAATGTTTTGAACACCTGTGATCAATGGTGCATCAGGTACCACTTGGAAAACTATATATTGTGATTATATAGGTATAAAGAGCATGTTTATAGCAGCACAGATGTAATACTTAAATCTTGGAAACAATTCAAACACATATTTACTGAGGAATGGATAAAAAAGTTATATATAATATATATATATATATATATATATATATATATATAGTACTACTCTGCCATAAGACAGGAAAAACTTGAGATATTTATTGCTAAATGAATAGACCTTAAGATCATGCTCTTAAATAAAACAGGCACACTTGTAAATATAGCATTGTCTCACTGGCATAAGAAACTGAAAGTGTAAATAAGAACCAAATTTTACACGAGATATGGTGAAACGGGAAGAAATTATTCAAAAGGAAAGAAGAATTAGGCAGGCAGAGGGAGAAAGGAAGAAAGAAAAAGACCAGAGATCTACTCAGCTGAGGATTCTTCAAAACTGCTTCTCTTTGTATCAAAGCTCATCATACCAGACCTCTGGTTTAAAGCATTATTATGAGTGTTATTATAGTCAATGACATTAGATTATAAGGTGAAGAAAATATTCTTACCCAATATATCATTAAAAATGTAAGATTTGGTTAAAATTTTGATTGATTGTTTAATTCATATAGCTGAAAAATAAACATCATAGGTTCAGTGTTCTAGCACAAGATTTCAGATAGGAAAGGGGAAGAATAGATATCTTCAAATAAAGGCTGCTGTTCAAATGTTTTAAATTATTTGAATTCCAATTATTTCTGCAATGATCCAGTAATCCACATATAACTAAAATAATTGAAAAGAGAATCTCAATAAGGTATTTTCTCATCCATGT